CGACGGTTATGTCCGCCATTTGTGACAACAGTATGTGACTATACCGTTGTCAGGCTATTCCAGTGTGATTGCACCAAACTACTCTTCTCACTACATCACTGAGTCTCACATTGTACGTGCAATTAGAACGAGTGACAACGTACATGTACTAACGACGAGCTAGGCGTACTATGAACGGAACTGTTGCACTTTTTACAACGAGTTGAACTACCTGATGACGTATCGAGAACGAGGTAGAACTAATTTCAAACGAGTTTAAACTGATTGAGAACGTATTAAAGACTGCTTATGAACGAGTTAAAATATAGCTATCACACCAAACTAGTTGCCACTACGTTCTTCGCAACGTTGCTGAACTGGTCTTTAAACCATGTCCGAACGGAACGAACGTGCAGTATTCTAAGGTCTGTTTACGAACTTAATGAACGTGGTCGGACGGGAAGGTAATTTTAGAATTTTTAATCATTTCAAAATTCGATGGCGACCATACCGTTCTGTAATCAGATCGTGTGACAACGTACGTCAAACGAGATGACCTATACTATACTAGGAACGTAACTGCCGTACTTCGACCCTACAAGAAACAAGTTATACGACGTTGTGCAATAGGTTACCAATTGCAAAATGCGTCTGCACACCGACGTGGTGCGGCCTGGACGAACTGCGAATGAGATGGACGTATTGTTTATGAACGAAGTAGCATATTTTAATCCTGAAATATTTCCCACCACAGTCGACTTTTTCGTGGGACTGGAAAGTATGACGTTATAACCCCCCTATCACACCAAACTAGTTCTTATCCGTTCTTGCCAGTCCTACGAAAACGTCGTAAAACGAGCTCAATCTGGCTGTGGTCGGGAAATATGTCTAAAATAATTAGCTACTTCGTTCATAAACAGTCTTCAATACGTCCATCTCATTTGCAGTTCGTTCAGGTCGCACCAGGTCGGTGTGCAACGTCGTATAACGCGTCCCTTAGTCTAGAAGGTCATCATGACCTGATTACAGAACGGTATGGTCGCCATCGAATTTTGAATCGATTCAAAATTCTAAAATCACCTTCCCGTCTAAGAACGTTCAGGAAGTTCGTAAATAGACCTTAGAAAGTTCCAGCTACGTTCATTCCGTTCGCACACAGTTTAAAACCAGTTTTGAAGAACGCAGTGGCAACTCGTTTGGTGTGATAGCTATATTTTTGCTAACTAGTTCATTAGCAGTCTTAAATACGTTCTTAATCAGTTTAAACCCGTTTGCAATTAGTTCTACCTCGTTCTCAATACGTCCTCAGACAGTTCAACTCGTTGTTAAAACGTCCCTATTAGGATTGAAGTCCGACGGTTCCGTTCGTAGTACGTCCAGCTCGTCGTTAGTACGTTGTCACTCGTTCTAATTGTAGAACGTATCGACCACGAGAACATTTTGAGCATGTTCTAAGTTCTAAAGGACATACCCGTTCGAGTACGTTCGATGACGTTTGTAAATAGACCCTAAACGGTTTTAAGTACGTCCAGTCCGTTCGTACACAGTTGAAGCCCGTTTTCGAGAACGTAGTGAAAACTAGTTTGGTGTGATAGTAGGATAAAGTATACCATATCATAGTAAAAGGGGTACTCTTGGAATGATTAATGGAGTCTAATATAAATGTATCCTCCAAGACAGATGTATCGGAGGATTCATGATTATTAGACCAATGATGACGCTCTCGAATTTATAAAATATAATGTGTTTCCTTTGCAATTCAAGAAAAATCATCGCCATATCAATATTTTAATTTTCGAATTTTGTCTTTTTTGAAATATCAATTATCGTAAATACGGAATAGTAATTCAAAATAAACAGTTCAAAAGATTTGAACCGATATCTTGATCATTTCTTGTGAGTTTTGGAATTTTTCTTAAGGAAATAAGACTAAAATTCACTATTCAAATGTTGAAGTGAACAAAATGGCGGCTGTTTGAATTCAGTTTTGTATCACGACATTCCAAAATATGGGACAGAATATCGATGTTGCACTCTGGGAGTCAATCCTCCTTGGCGATCCGTCGTGAAAAAAGGTCAAATGTGAAAAATCATAGGTAGTTGATACGCTGAAACTTGGAATTGTAATTTCCAAAAGCATTTTCAACTCCTGTAGCAGACCTTCCAGGTTACATTAAACATTGAACCAGTAAGTGTATATTTGTCATGAAATCACTGAGAAGAACGTTACCCCCCTATCACACCAAACTAGTTCTTACCCGTTCTTGCCAGTCCTACGAAAACGTCGTAAAACGGACTCAATCTGGCTGTGGTCGGGAAATATGTCTGAAATAATTAGCTTCTTAGTTCTTAAACAGTCTTCAATACGTCCATCTCGTTGGCAGTTCGTTCAGGTTGCACCACGTCGGTGTACAACGTCGTAGAACGCGTCCCTTAGTCTAGTCGTAAATAGACCTTAGAAAGTTGCAGCTACGTTCATTCCGTTCGTACACAGTTTAAAACCAGTTTTGAAGAACGCAGTGGCAACTTGTTTGGTGTGATAGCTATATTTTTGCTAACTCGTTCATAAGCAGTGTTAAATACGTTCTTAATCAGTTTAAACCCGTTTGCAATTAGTTCTACCTCGTTCTCAACACGGCCTCAGACAGTTCAACTCGTTGTTAAAACGTCCCTAGTAGGATTGAAGTACGACGGTTCCGTTCGTAGTACGTCCAGCTCGTCGTTAGTACGTTGTCACTCGTTTTAATTGTAGAACGTGACGACCACGAGAACATTTTGAGCATTGTCTAAGTTCTAGAGGACCTACCCGTTCTAGTACGTTCGATGAAGTTTGTAAATAGATCCCAAACGGGTCTTAGTAGGTCCAGTCCGTTCGTACACAGTTGAAGCCCGTTTTCGAGAACGTAGTGAGAACTAGTTTGGTGTGATAGTAGGGTTACATTATTAGTAACATAAGCTTAATAAATTGTGAACAGTTATGGTATATTCCATGATATTTATCAATTTAATGCAAAATGATTTTTGTCGTTCAATTAGAAAAATTAGCATCTGTAGATTGAACTGTTGTAAAATTATTTAGAACGGAAATATTTACTTAGCCTATTTAATATTCTGTCCTATTTGAGTTGATGAAATTAATATGCTTATAATCAAATGATTCTACAACCTGTTTCGAAGAAAACAGTTAAAGAGAAGTATGTGATCTTAACGTCCAACTATCAACTCGAACTCGTAAATTTTGTGAATGCTTTGTTGAGATTGGATTCGATAAGTTCTCAAAATAAGTACGCTAAAATATGTAATGTTTTATCATCTTCATAAACACCTCACAAATTATTTTGGAAATTAAACATGTACGATCTTTGAGATTATTAGTTTCGAATGTTGACGCAGTTCAGTTACTGGTGTATTATTTGCATATTATTGGCGTATTATTTGCGGGTAACCTTCACTTCTGTTTGGTGTCCAATAACACCCAGGGGCGGATCTGGGAACCAACAAGGGGGGGGGGAGCAAATTTCAGGTCTGAGAAAAAACTTCTGCGGTTGCCCGGAAAAATTTGAGGCCCATTTTTTCAAAATTAGGCCCAGTAATGACCAAAAAAGCCCATTTTTGGTGCTTTTAGGACTTTTTTGGCCCCTGGATGTTTGGATGGGATTTATGGGACTACATTCAAAAGCTAATGGGAGAAAAATCACATTTTGTTAATTACCATAGCTACAGCTACAGGATACTAGTTACATAAAGCCTGTAAATTAGAACACATCGGTAAGTGGAACAATTTGCAATAAATAGCCAGTTATTCTGGGTCTTCATGTAGAAGTACAGAATCAGTATTATACTCGCATATAAAGATTTTGGAAAGTCAAACCATCCCGCGTTTAACATAAGCATTTGAAAATAGTCTTGATTTTATTCTATATCTTTTTGTACTTATTGTACATTATTCAGCTATTTCGTCGCATTTTGAGCCACACTGTTGTGATAGCCAGTTCATGTATTTTGATAATTATACAACAATAAAGAATTAGATAAACTACATGTACAAATACTATTTTTATTTCCAACTATTTTGGTTTTCAGAATGTACATTATTTTCAATGTGTAACTTTGCAAGTCAAGTTTAGCAAAATGTATACAATCTTCAGTAGGTAGCCTAACCAGGCCTGTAGCCAGGGGAATTCAGAGGTTTAAGCAAACCAACCCCTTGCCCTTTGCGTTTGGGCCAAAATTATTGTCAAATTTGAACCCCCTGGAATTTAAAATGGAAACCCCATGGAAAAAGCTAGCTATGGACATGTTAACTATGTGTTGATGAATAATAAAATAAAAACTGAACAACACAAGTCTCGTTTATCTTATTGATATCTTCCTTATGCCTTGGTCACATTTGCTCCGATTTTCACTACGGCGCCCGGCCGATTGAGTATTTTGTTAAAAAATGTATTCAACTTTGAACAAAATACTCCATCGGCCAGGTGCCGGCCGATGAATCGCAGCAAATGTGACCCAGGCATAACTCTGTATTGAGTACAACTCAGTGTGAAATTGAACCTGAGCAAGGGAAGATTCACGGAGACCTCTCTCTGATTGATTGCACTTTCTTATTAGTTCCAAGGCATCAGTTGACTGCTAATTCATATTACTTCCACAATCAGGCTAATCATCCTGAAATCCTTCGCTTTCAGATTTATATTTAAACAATGTCATCTTGCTCAACAGCACAGTGAAGGTTTGCTTCAAAAGCTAATTTGGTATTGACAGTGTACACAAGATTGTATTCTTAGGTTCAAGTTGACAGGTTGATATATTAAGGTAGATTCACATAATGAGAAGTTTGATGCAATTCTCATGATTACAATTACCTATTATATGAATCCACTGTGAATGGATTCCATTTTTTTTAAATCTTATGTTGGTATAACACTTTTTGGTAGTATAGATAGTTCAAAATCAATATTCTTTTATTACATGGAATTTCAATGACATTTCCAACATTCACTTCAGTTTTTTCCTTCATGTATCATTTACGGCAGATTCTTATAGTCACTTGATACTTCTTCAGGATAATGATACGCCACCACCGGAGAACTCCATCCTCTGGAAATAAAAAATATGAATTATTGATATTGAACATTAATTGTAGCTAAATATCAACAACGCCAAGGCATAGCAATTCCCATCAATATATTGGGCCAACGGTATTTGAGTTATTGACCGGACAGACAGATGTAAGTACATCAAACAGATGGATGGACAGAGGGAATAATTCTCCATATCCCCCAAACTTCGTCCGATGGGATAATTAATTGTAAATCTGTCAAAATACTCTGATGTAGAGTTTTCTGCACACAATATCAAATGTTCAAACTTGGATTTGTGATTCATTTTATACATGGACTTATACTGTATTAAGTCCATGGTTTAAATGAACAAACATGTATTTTACAAAATAATATTATATTATTCTTTGTTATCAGTTATATATGGTGTTTCATTGAAATGAATTCGTTGGAATCAGCTGAACCCCACTGGCTACCGGCTTGACTCATCAGAAGCAGCCATTCTAAGTGTATTTCTTGACCAATATAAACATTTGCAACAAATATGAACCACAAGATTACATTAAAAAGGGTCAAAACATTAGCAAATGACTTATATTCAAATGAATGATTGTCAGCCTAACCTATAAATGCAGAGACATAGCTTTCCTCTATGAAATGGAGATATATTACAAGGCATCATGTTTGTTTAATCTACGAAGCTGACAAAAATAAGAATTATTGTTTAATAATCAGAAATCGATAACAGCCAAATTAATGTTTAATAAGTCAGTTGAGAATTTTGTTTAATATGAGAGGTAATACAAAATTAGGGGAGCAAGTTTACAATTAACAGTTGTCACATCTCGTTACACTCCAAAAAATTTAAGGCAAAAGCACATAAATTCTCTATCTAATGAATCAATATCCTGTATCATTCTTTATTGGAAATCTAAAAGCATGAGTGACTGTACTTACAAATAATACATGAAGGTTGAGTATTTTATAATCAGAATGGATTAGTACATAGGCAAATCCTTTTAAATCCAATAAATAACAAGGCATTAACATGTAAAATGTAACAACATGCCATTTTTAACAAACACTAACCACTGATCACCAACCACCAAATGCTGACTGCTTAAAGTCAGCTGCCAAACACCAACTGCCAAACAACAACCAACAGACACTGTCCATAAAAAAGTTGGAGGACAACAAAAAAAAACATATATAATTTTTTGCCAATTTTTTCAAAATTATCTCACTAAATTACTCTTAACAGTAACATGAGCTTTTACAAGCAGGACACCTGGAAATATTTATGAAGCTATGAAATGCTCAAAAAGTGAATGTACCTTAACAAAAATGGCAGCCAATTTAATAATAGGCAAGCTTTTGGACCAGGGGTCATGATAATTGTCCGAAGCATGATTTCTTATTTATAAATATCATTAATTTAGCACAATTTATTTTTGATCTTGAAATCTACTTCACTTTTGTCAAAATAAACCACTCGAAATGGCTATTTCATTCATGATTTTGTATGAACTCGTTGGAACCCAGTTCTGATCCAATACAAAGTTGTTGAAAATAGCGCAGGCATCTTTACTCCAAAAGATCATTTTTCTATAATTACTTTTTACAAAATTTAAATGGAGGATTCTTAAGTCTTAAAAATATCTGGCATAGTCTTAATACAGTGGAAAACTTCTGTTACTTCATAAGGAACTGCTCAGTTGGCCACATAATTTGAATGAATATACTGAAAGCTAATTGACTTAGACACCCTTGGCATGAGTTACCATTATGGGGTGAGAAATGAGAGTATGGGGACATTAGATTTACTTATATTCTCAGAAGGCTTATACGGATTCTAAGACATATGTTTATGTCAAAATATATCATTATAAGTATGAGATATGTCAAAAATATGGTTAATATCCCATAAATGAGCACTATATTCATAAACTTTATTACTTTTTAATATAGATATTCTATTTATCAAATGAGACTGTTGTTCAGAATTTAAAAGTTGACCTTCCCGTGAGCTTTGAGTACTAAAGGCTGACATTTAACATCAAGAAAATATATATTGCAAAAAGTTATGATAATATTTAAGCTAAGCTCCATTAACGGAAATTCATGTAATGGGACTCTGGAGACGGCTATCTTGATCTCCAATAACTGCGTCTGGTTCACTGTGTGTTGATGTTACCCAAGGGTTGAGTTAAGGTGCTCTGAGAGCAGCAGGTCAAAATGGCCTTACAAACCAGTTGCTGTGTTAATTTCCTATATCTGGTGAAAAATCACATGGTCCGTCTCAAAAATGACAATGATCACGTGGACTGGCCCCTTAGCTCAAAACCTTGGTGCCTCACTTTGTCTTGGGAAAATTCCAGTAAGCAGCTCTTCCCTAGCAATTTTGTAAACTAATAACTTGAAGGGTTCTCAATGAAGGCCCTTCTTAGCTTCCTCTTTTCTCACTGCTTCTTCTTAACTTTGGTCCAAACTTAACTTAACAGGTTTCATAAATGAATAAACACAAGGAGTTCACACGTCTCGAACTCCCAACCTCATGGTTATGGGCGACACAACACCTAGCTAGGCTTGTTCTGCACTTTTAAAGACTGCTAAGCCAACAAGGAGAACCCCATAAAAGGTTGTTTCAACAGCCAATCTGACTAAAGGGAACATGTGTTTAATGCACACCAGAGGGAACATTCATTCACTCATCCACACACACAATTAGCTCAACTGTCTTTAAGAACTCAGAGCAGGTTACTATAGTATAACCACTGCAACTGAAAGCTCAGACAATGATCATAAATGAATAAACACTAAGAGCTCACGTGTCTCAAACTCTCAACCTCATGCTTATGAGTGACACAGCCCCATAGCCTAGCTAGGCTTGTTCAGTGCTCTAGACCACTCGGCCAACTTAACAATCCCATATAAAAGGTTGTTTCATCAACCAGTCTGACTAGAGAGAACAGGTGCTAACACTCAAACAAGACTGGTCATACATTCCAGTTTCCTCTCAAAAGTTTATTTTATGGTTGTATGGAAAAATGTCTCTGGATTTCAGTCCTTTTCTTTCAATCGCTTGCCTGTTGTGGCGTTGTAGCTTCAGTCAAAGTCTCCTTCCTTTCAATATGTTTCAACTTCAATAGCCTGACACTCACAAGGTAGGAGGACTGACTTTGACAGAAGAATTTAAGCACTTCTGTGGTTGCGTTTCCTTGCCTTCCTTCAGGAACTGCAGCATCAGCCTTTGCCTCAACTGTATCTTCTGCTGGATGAATCCTCAGCTTCGCTTTGCAGTCTTCCATTGCTGGATCTATATTCCAATCCCATTCTTGAAGGTATTGCTGCATCTTCTGCAATTGCAACTTGTCCCTAATACATCAATGTCTCTCATTGTTTGTATTTCATTGCTTTGGTCAATAACCAATCTATCTTTCTGTTCTGGTGCAGATCATTCTCTCTTCTAATCTGTCTGCTTGGGGACATTCTCTTTGTTAATTACTTGGAGGTTGTGTTATGATTATGAAGTGCTTTAGGGTGATGGCCATAATTTGTAGGTGTCCGATTGTTTAACTATACAACAGCAACGCCAAGGCATGGCATATCCCATCAAACAGCCTTCTGAGTTCCACATATCATTTACATGACCGGAAACACGATGGAAATGGTCAGAATGACCATAAGCATGATGAAATAACCTTTTCAGCCCTTTGAAAATGTGACTGAAAATAGCTAAAAGTAGGTGCTCAGGAAAGGTCACTGAACAGAATCTTTTGACTTTTTCAGAAAATGTGCCCAATATATGCTCTAAATGATACAATTTTTTAAAATTTGATATCATTCTTAGAAAAAGAAAAAAAACTAAAAAAACTGAATTGAAAATCGATTTATTTTCTTTTTACTACAGCCATTACTTTCAGACAATTTTTTAAAATTTCAAAGATTGTATCATTTAGAGCAATATATTGGACACATTTTCTGAAAAAATCAAAAGATTAATTTGGCTACCATTCTACTTTGACAATCTATTTTCGGATCTATTTTGGAAAATCCCTCAAGCATTTGTAGTTTGCAATTATTTCACTTTTCTGTGAATTAGTATTCCTATTTCGATGTCAGTGCCATACCAAGACTTATTGAAAGCAGAACACATGAAACTGAAATGTTTATTTCCAGATCTATGCTAAAACTTCAGCTCAGTCCTGACTCCGCTAAATTAAATAGCCGTCAATACTTGAAATTGAGCAAATCCGCCAAATTAAGTAGCGTCAAATTAAGTGTATCTACAGTATCTGTTGCATCATTGTGATCTCTGTTATCAACTCAATATCTAGCTCTTGTGGGGTGGTGTTCTACACACAAGATCCTTTAACGTGGTTCATCACACTGAAGAGTGAATTGTCTCACAATTCTTATTAAAGATCTAGTTGAGATATAAGTTTAGATTGTATAAAAAACCATATAGACGATCATTGTCAACTTATGAATTGGATCTACATGTAAACCAATATACTCATGTGTGTCAACCACTGAACCGTGATCCCTATTCAGTATCAATAAGCTGAATAAATAAAGTATCCAATCAAAAAATCTTATTGTACCTATAATTTTGATTAATTTCCCATGTTCACCTTTTGTTCCTTTCAGCCACATCAATATTACACATTACCCTTGACACACTTAATTGGAATATTTCATTTTCAAATATCAAGGATTTAAAAATTAAACCAGTTTTTCATGGTAAATACCATAGAAAATCCCATGTTTTTTTTTATCATGAAACACCGGTAATTACCATGGAAAAGTTCTTATTCCAAGATGGCTGCCATGTGTTTCCTAAATATCTACATTTCTACGCTTTTTAATGTCTTCTACTCTTCATCAAACTTTTTTACCTCGAAAATGTATAAATATTACAGTATTACATTTGTATCTAAATTACTGTAAAATCGGTACTAAAATAGCCGCCATTTTTGAATGAGCAGCCATCTTGAAAATCGACTTTCCAGCAGATGTTCTACTGACATAGGGCAC